GTGGGAAGGGAGTCATACAATCGTTGCACATTTGTGATTATTAAATCCAGATGACATTCCTTTACAAGTTAATTTTTAACTACTGACTTGACTCACTTGATTGTTTTGTGAAGCATGCCCTCTTTTATATGTACACTACGCAATAATTGGCCTCAGTTAAGATCTTAAAATAATTTGAAAAGAAAAAACTATGCCACTCTCACTTAAAGGCGTGGTCAAATTCCCGGGATCTGATAACACGTTGGTATTTGAATGCTGGTTTACGCGAGCTTGTACCATCTCGTGGTGTAACCGATGTGGCATTGTTTGCAACCACGACAAGTAGGTTGAGATACTACGTTTGCATCTTAAAAACTACTGTAAAGCACAACTAGGGTTTAAATGCATCTTAACTGTATGTGTGGGTAAGATTTATGAACAAACTTACGCGGTTGTTTTTTTTTTTAACATATACGGTACTACAAGGCAATGCTACAGGTATAGATAATTTACAAGCATCATATTCTGGTCGTTTTATGGAGTTCTGCTTGTTTAAGTAGTCATTGGTTGTATTATTGATCATACCAGTGGAGATTAATTTCTTTAAAAATTCTCTGTGATTTTATAAGCATGGTGTTTTTAATGACATTGGTATGAAAGATCCAACACTGAAGTAAAAAAAAATGGAATGTTTTATTTTGATAAATTCCCGCTCAGTTTGTTAGGTTTTTTGTAATGATGAAGTAAAGTATCTAAAATGAAACTTGGTGGTCCCTCTGATGTTCCTCTGTGAAGAATACTGTTAAAGTATTCTGAAAACTGAGAGGCTTGATTAAGATCTATGAAGATGGTGCAGGGTTTCTTTTATGAAATTTAGGGTATAACAATTAAAAATACACCGGAAATTCTTTTACCTGCTTTTTTTTTTTTTATTGAAATAATTTGGAGCTAGTAGTTATGGACCTGGCATGGCCAGATGGTTAGGGCACCCGACTCGTAATCTGTGAGTCACGGTTTCGAATCCCCGTTTCACCAAACATGCTCGCCCTTTCAGCCGTGGCAGCATCAATCCCACTATTCGTTGGTAAAAGAGTAGCCTAAGAGTTATCGGTGGGTGGTGGTGATAACTAGCTGTTTTCCCTCTAGTCTTTCACTGCTAAATGAAGGACGGCCAGTGCAGAGAATCATCGTGTAGCTTTGAGCAAAATTCAAAACAAAACAAATTAAACTCATAGTTATACAATTTATTTGAACATAAAGAACTTGTTGAAAACAAGAAGGTATTCCTTGGTTTCAAATTTCGTGATTTTTTAAAAATACGTTCCACATGTGGTTTCACCGTCATTATAAACGAAGATAGCTCCATGGCTCATAGTTTCTTCTATAGGG